CTGTCTGCTCTGACTCGTGCCCACTGCTTTCTCGGTGGTGTACCAAAGAGACGCTGGCTCGAGAAGACGCGGTGCCTCGTAGCGCTGCACCGGCGAGCCATGGCGCTTCACGTGGAAGGGATGCTAAGCCACCACGGCTGATGCTGTGCTGGGTTTAACCAGGGCACCACGCAGAGGGCTCCAGTGGGAGGCAGTTAGGTGGAGTATGAAATATTAATATGCGATGGTTAAAATGTCCTTTCCAGTTGTTGCAGTAAGGGGAGCAGTAAGTGATGCAGAATTAATATTGTGTGTAAGAAGAAACCCTAAATGGATGGGACAGGGAAGGCAAGGGAGGCTGCGGGCTCCAGGGCGTGCCAGGCTTGCATGGGGATGTCAGAAGAGTGCTTTGCACAGGGTTTCTGAACAGCCAGTGCTGGTAATGAGAGCCATGCAGGCTGCTTGTTAAATGGGGGACATCGCTGATGGTACCTGAAATGTCAGTGCACTGCTGTGCTAGAAGCCCAGGGTTCCATCTCCCAAGCCTTGGACAACACTCCCTGCCAAAGCCACACTCCCTGCCTGGGCAGGGACAGCAGTCGGTGGCAGATGGCACTGGGAGAGCATCCCGTCCATGGAGATGGTGGGTCCTCGTTGGCTCCCTCCCAAGTCTTTCCCAGCGGCGTGGCCGTCACCTTGCCTGACCTTGAGTTTGCCATCTGGTGGCCCTGTCCCATCGCTCATCAGCTACAGGCACGGCTCCTGCGCAGATCTGCGGTGTCCCGAGATGGCCCCAATGCGCAGAGCCACAGGGGCTTCCACCAGGGAGCCAAGGGAAGGGCTCTACCGAGGGAGGGGTTATGCTGAGCCACCCCCTCCATCATCGGCCCCACAGTCAGTTCTCCCATCATCTCCAGCTCCTACAGCCAGAGGCTTTATTGGTCTGGGGGGACCCGGCATCCCAGGCGGGGAGGAGAGAAGGCAGAGCAGGAGACAAGCACACGCTGGTCCAACTACAAGCAGCATGGGAGAAGGTGATAGGAGCCAGACAAGGAGGGTGCAAGGTGGGGTTGGGGGAGCAGGGACCTGGGAGAGGTGCACGTTCCCCCCCTTCCCCCCCCCTCTGTGGATGCCTGGGAGATGCCTTAGGAGATGTCCCTCTCCAGGTGAAAATTCATCTGGTGCCTTAGTACCCACCTGAGAAATGCATCGTCTTCATCCGTCTCTTTTACCTTTAAAACAAACCCAGGGAGTGGAGGATCCATTGACAGCATCAGGGCTGGCTCATGTCGCACCCGCTGAGAGGGCAGCCCGCTAGATCTGAGGGAAACCACGGGGTTTATGCCCCCACACACCCCCATCCTACCCAAATCCTCCAGACAGCCCTTCCTGTTCCCAGGCACAGGGGCAGCTTAAGGAGCTCAGCGCCCTGATGCAATTGGTGCTTGCAGCTGCAAACAGCTGGTCAGAGATGCAGACTGGTGTAAATAAATAGTCGCCTCTGGGCTCGTTAGAACTGGGGAAGGGCTTGGGCAAACAGCAGCCGGGGGTTTCCCTAGGCTGGGGCTTGGGGTAGCAGCAGTAAAACTCTTCAAAGTCAGGTGTATTTTATTTGAGAGCTGTATTTTATTTTGAGGCAGAGAGCATTCCTCTGGCCTGCCTGTGCCTGGGCCAGTCCTGGAAAAGGTAGGGCCAAATTCAACTAACCCACCCACTTTCTGTGGTGAAGCGTGTGGCCAAGGAGATGACATGGGTGATATCTGCCTTGATTTCAGGAAGGCTTTTGATGTCATCTCCCGCAGCATCCTGGCATCCAAGCTGGGACACAGTGGCCTCCAAGAGCAGCGCAGGCTGGATGGCGGGGCTCTGAGGGCAGTGAGATGGGCTCATCATCTGCCTGTGCAAGAGGAGCTCCTCCAGGGACTGGGGGTGGGGGAAAGAGGGGCCATGGACGGGTAGCAAAATGGGTTGGAGATTGCATAAACTCTGGCAGATAAACAAGGATGGAAAAGTGGGAGTGCATTGTCTAGAAGGGCCAAAGTGCAGCTGAGTTGGGCCAAAGATGTCCATGCGGCACAGGCAAGAGAGGTGCCAGGGCAGGTTCACTCTGAAATAGAAAATACGAGCACCAGGAACTGGGAACTCCAGGAGTCACCAAGTGTAAAGGCACATGTTGAAGGCATGGTCCCACAACATCTCTGAAACCCCGGGGCAGAGAGAGCCCACAGCGGGGCGGATGTGCCCTTGGGTACTAAGGCCATCCAGAGCTACCTGCATGCAGGTACCCTACATGTGTGCCAGCTCTCTGGAGATCCCGCACAGCGTTAACTGGTCTCAGGGGGGTTCTTATGGAGGTCTCCATGGATGGCCATCCTGGAACAGCCTCCAGCCAGGCTTTGCACAGGTACTTGGGACTTCTGAGAAGGGAGGCCCTGAGGCTCAAGCTGGGTACCCAGAGTGACCAAGTGGCTGGAAACAGCCTTGGATCTTCCCCTGTGTCTCCACCTCTGCACCAGTAATGGGGAGAGTTTCCTCTGCGAACCTCTCCCAGACTGCACTGCAAAAATCTGTTAAAATAGACAGTATTAAGCAAATGTTATTATGTAGGTTGGAACTTTGAGCAACCTAAAAGAGATTGGGCACCACTTGCCGGCGACGTGAGGATTTAATTTACTTTGATGCCTTTAAAAGTCCTGTCCTTCGGTTATTTTTTTCCAGTGGTTTTAGGACACTGTGCTGCCAGGAATTGTTTGTAAAAAAACAAACCCAAAAGTCTCCAGCTTTCTTAGTCTGTAAGGGTGAAAGGGAAAATATAACGAGCCAGACTCAGACGAAGCCTTAACTTTTTTTTGATTGGATTTAGCAGGGAGATCATTTCCAGACTCAATGGTAGGTTAATAGAGTCACTGGGGTTAGAGCCCAGCAAGATTTATTGTGCCACCACATCCTCCCGCAGCTCCAGGCCGAGGATCAGCCTTGCCAGGTATCTCCAATGCTCTGTATGGTCTGGCTTTAAATGATGAAAGGAGTGGAGTGTCCAGTCCTTTGTGCTCTGAAAATTAAAAAGGCGGAGGTCTGGACATCATAGCTTGTCTATTTGATCGCTCATTGATTGCCGTCGGTGTTCAGACACTCCGTGTCCCCCCAGGTCGGGCTGCAGGCACTCTCTGTGTGCAGGAGTCTCCTCTGTTGTCTCTTTACCTCCATGCTGGACCGAAGTTTCGAATCCTGGAGATGCAGAGCTAGCAGCAGCGAGCCCTCATGCTTGTCTGTGCAGACAGACATTCCCTCGGGCAGAAACAGGGCTATGGGCAGAAGCAGCCCCACCCCAGGAGCAGAGCAGGCTTCATCAGGAGGACATCCATCACCCAAGAAGCCCAAATAAGGCTCACCTGGAAAGGGGTGAGATATGTAGGATGACGTTATCCCCCCTAATAGGTCTAGGGGGAGATCAGAGCAACCAGAAATTTTGGGTCCTGTGTGGAAGCTCTGTGCAGAAGATGGGGAAGAAGGAGGGCTTAGGTTCCTTGAAAGTTTGGGGTGAACCCCCCAAAAGCACATCAGGTAACTCTGCAGCATTTCCCCAGGCCTCTGCCTGCTTAGGGAGGAGTGGAGGAAAGACTCGTTGCGTGTTTTAGGGCTTGGCAAAGACAGAGCATCGCAGACTGACGAGGTCAGGGCAGCCAGGCAGCCAGGTAGCTGCCACCATCCTCACCTTGGACCAAGCTGCTCAGGCAAACTCGGGCTTTGAGCTCAGAGAGCCAAAGCTCCCAAGCCAGGCAGTGCTTTAGCTCTGCCCAGTGCCAAGGCAGACGTTGGGGACCACCAGGGAGGGGACACCATGGCCCTGGGGTAGCAGTGCATCATCTCCTGAGCCGGGCGATGGGCTGGGTGACTGCTTGGGGCCATGGGCACCCCAGTGGCTCTGTCCTGGGTGCCAGGCATTACCTGTGGCACTGCTGGAAGGGGCTGGGGAGGATCAGAACTGTAATGTGCACCATAAAACGCCTCCCACGGCTCCGAGCTGACTTTCCCCAGGCAGATACCACACGCTGGGTATGCAGCACACAACAGCCATCCCAAAGCCTCCCCTCTGCATCTGGAAGGTGAAAATCCACCGGATGATGCCTTTGGACAGCTTTAATTTTTGCTGTAGAAATGTGAGCAGGCAGTGGAATAGGCAGCTAGAATAGCTTTAATTTCGCACAATTTCCAGCCCTGTCCCTGGCTCCTCTTTGTCCTCAGAGGTGAAGCCTGTACTCAGGGGCTGCCCATTAAATACCCCAGCCCAAGAACCCAGAGGATCATGCCTTGTGGCGGTGGGAAGCAGGTTGGAGTGACTTCCAGCTGATCCGGCCGACGGCTCAGTGATTCCCAGGCCAACAGTGACACCTCCTGTTTGCACAAAATTCAGCTCAAAGCCCGGCACATAAATGTGTGGGCAGGCAGCAGAGCACAGATAGGAGCACATGGGCTGCTCCATCACCGATCTCTCTTCATGCGCATCCCAAAAACCTCAAATCCTCTTCCAGCTGCAAGTGCAGATCCACAGGGATGGGGACGGCCCTGTGCGTGGTGAGAGCTGGCCTGTGCTCAGCAAGGGAAGCCTGGGAAGGCAGACGTGAGCAAAGGTGCTGAATGCAGACTGCTTTAAAAGAGCCGTCCTTGAATTGTAATAAAGCACAGAGAGGTAAAAGCTTTCCTGTAATAGCATTAAAGCTTTTGCTTAGATGCAAAATTTATTTAAATTGTGTTTTGTGCCCCAGAAGCAACCAGCTTACACCCAGACTGTCAGCCTGGTAAGTAGGGTTCCAGCAAGAGTTTTGTGCTGGCTGCAACGTTCCCCTCCCCAGCACACCGGGACTCCCTGGAGGTGGGGTCCCTCCAGCTGTGACTGGTTGCAGTTGAAGCGCTTGTTCCAGGCTTGCTGGGAGATTTATCACCTGCCCCTTTTTTGTAAGACTCCTGCAATTCCCTTGCGCGCCTTCCTGACTCCCAGTTTGTTCATCCAGGTGTTCAAGATGTCATTGAAGGTGCAGACAAGCAACATCACGAACAAGAATGACCCCAAGTCCATCAACTCTCGAGTCTTCATTGGTAATCTCAACACAGCTGTGGTCAAGAAGTCAGATGTGGAGACCATCTTCTCCAAGTACGGCCGGGTGGTGGGCTGCTCCGTTCACAAGGGCTATGCCTTCGTACAGTACTCCAACGAGCGGCACGCGCGTGCTGCCGTCCTGGGTGAGAACGGGCGTGTGCTTGCTGGCCAGACGCTTGGTAAGTCTTTCTGTCATCCATTTTAGGTGTTCAGGTGCAGGTTGGTTGCTCCCTAGGGGATGGTCAGGGGATGGCCAGTCCAAGGTCAAGCTAGGACATCAGTCTGCAGGTTGGGGTCGGGTCCAGTGATGGTGAACAGGTCAAACACAACCCAGTGATGACCAAACAGGTCTGTAGTGACGAGGCTGGTCTGAGGCCAGGCTGGGAAGACAGCCAGCGGGTCAGGATCAGCAGGGTCCATGGCCAGGCCCCAGCACGGCTGTGACAGCACCGGAGACCAATGCTCCTACAGATGGGGCTGAAGGCTCCAGCGTCCCATGTGGGTAGGGGGCAGAAGCGAGGCTGGTGGTGGCCTTTCAGGCATATTCGTGCCCTCAGGGCTGTGGTGTTGTGGCCCAAAAACTCATGTTATGGGCTGCAACTGTAGAAGCTAAACCACAGCTCTGAGCCACCCCATGTCGTTGTCCTCGATCTGGTGGGGAAGAACAAGGGTGGGAAATGACATTGCCTGGTCCCCTTTTTGGAGCAGGCCTTACCCTTTGCCTGTCAAGAGAGGTGATGGCCTAACTCAGACTAGCTCAGACTAACTTTAGCCAGCTGATGTTAGATGAACTTCCCACGCACACACACACATGGAATTCTCTTGTTTGCGCTGCTGGGTGATAAGAAATAACAAACAAAACCACCCCAGCTGCTCCCAGCTGCATTCTCATTTTGTAGATTGCTCTGAAGCGTCACATGCTGAGAAGCTCTTGTCACCAGCTCTAAGCTGAGAATTGGAACTGGAGACAGTATTTTTAATGGAAAAAAATGGTTATTTCCAAGCCTGCTGCGGGCAGCGGTCACTGGGCACCCAGGAAAGCGATTTGCAGACCATTCCCACCCTGCTTCTGGCACAGCAGCCTGAAATACCAAGTTGCATGTTAGATCTGATCTTTCAGACAGTGTGCTGTTTCCATCCATGGTTTATTCCAATCCCATGAACTTCTTCTCACTTCTCTTGCGGTCCTGAGAGCAGAGCTGCAGGCCGATCAAAGGGCAGTGTGCCAGGGATGCTTCCAGCCCAGGCATTGCCCATGCATGTGGAGCCTGTGGATAGGACAGAGAGGGCCTTGGGGAGCAGAGGAGTTCGTCGTGGTGCTCCAGATACAGGAGATGCAGCTAAGAGACAGGCGGCACTTGCCCACATAGCTGAAGAGGGAGACGAAAGGATTACCATGATGAGAACATCTCCTCTCAGTGCCAGTCCCAGAGGTCTGGCAATGCCAACAAGACAGAAGGACCATATTACAACTGGGAGTCCTGTGCATGTATGGGACGAGGTGCAAATTCAGCTTCCCTTCATCTGCCTTCCCTTCATGGGCCAGTCTTACCACAGAGGAGCTCAGCAGGCTGCTCACAGACCAGTATGAACATGGGGACACTCCCCTTTCAGGAGAATCCAGCAGAGGAGAAGAGCTGAACAATGTGGGTAAACGACGTCTTTGCACAAAACAAGGTAGAAAGTTCCCTCCGAAAAAAGAGGAGTCGATGGCCTCACAGGAACATGGAGGCGCAAGGTGGGATGGGACAGGCAGGGGACATGGCCAGCATGTTGCTGAAGAGCCTGTCCCTGCTTCTGTTCGTGGGCATGGTTTTGGGGGTTCCTTTGTGGTGACAGTAGAACTTCCCTCCCCAGGTGGGCAACAAGAAGGTCAGCTGCTTTCTGCTCTGGCAGCTCCAGCTGCCAACTTCAGCTGGGTGCATGATCCTGTGGAAGAGCTGCCAACCGGCTGCGTTTGGTGTGGCAGGAGCTCCTGGGGATCACCGCCCGCACGGTGGGGCAGCACGGCTCAAGGCAGTGCCCCATCTAGGGGCAAAGTACCCCCAACCTGCTGAGGGGCAGCAGCTTGTTGAGAGTGCAAGGTGCCAGCAGGGTCGCGCAGCAGGACAGCATCCCCGGCCAGATCCAGAGCCTCTCCTGCAAGCACTCGCTGCGATGACTGTGTTTTAGGAGCCCTGTGTGGCATGGATCGAGTGATACTGCCTTTCCTGCCTTGGCTGTTCAGATGGGAAAGGGAATTTGCACCAACATTTAAGAAGTGTCTTGGGAAAGCATCGTAGTTTAGCATGTGCCAGGAGCACCTGACTCGTCTGAGTGGGCACGTAGCCTAAGGATCTCCTGTCTGCCCCAGCATCCGCCAAGGCTCTTGCAGCTCCTTCTAACAGAAGGACCACAGAAAAGCTGGTCCCTGCAGAAACTCTTAAGTCAGGGACTTGCCCCTCCAGGAGCACAACTGGCTGCGCTGCCGTGGGATGGTTACATGGTGGCAGGAGGGTTCAGCCCTCCATCTGCTCCCAAGTGCCAATGATGATTTGCACGTAACTTTTTCCAGCACATATGTGATGGGTTGACCTTGGCTGGACGCCAGGTGCCACCAAGCCACTCGGACAGGCAGGGAGAAAATGAGACAGAAAAGAAAGAAAAGTTGTGGGTCAAGGTAAAGGCAGTTTAATAAAAGCAAAAGCAAAGACTGCATGCGGTAGGAAAAGGAAAACAAGATTTTATTCTCTACTTCCTATCAGCAAGCAATGTCCAGCCCCTTCCTGGGAAGCAGGGCTTCAGTACACATAGTGGTTGTTCCGGAAGACAAAATGTCTTAAAAATTGAATGCCCCCCTCTCTCCCCTCCTTCCTCCTTTCCCTTAGCTTTTATCTCCAAGCCAATGTCATATGGTATGGCATATCCCTTTGGTCAGTTTGGGTTGGGTGTGTCCCTTCCCAAGATCTTGCCCCCTCCAAGCCCACTAGTGGTGGTGGGGGAATGTTGGAGACACAACCTTGATGCTGTGCGAGTGCTGCTCAGCAGGAGCCAAAACACCGGTGGGTTATCGAGCGCCTTTCTACACACTGATAGCAAGCACAGCACTGTGCAGCTCGACCCCACGAGCCTTTTGATAGATTTTTCTCTCCCCTGTCCGGTTGAAGAGGGGAGTGATAGAGCGGCTTTGGTGGGCACCTGGCATCCAGCCAGGGTCACCCCACCACAACATACCAGAATGAATGAGTGAAGAAGCAGCGTCTTTCTTGCTCACATCTCCCAGCTGAGGGCAGCTCGCAAGCTAAGCGGTCTAATAGCACTTCTTCCATTTTTTCTTTCTTCTTCTTCCTTTGCCACCAGATACACGAACAATCAAACTTGCATTTTAATTGATCAGCAAGATGCTGAATGCATCACAAAACGGAGGCATTTGAAACCGTGGCTGTAGCCCATCATGTGCTGGGACACGGCCTGCTCTGCCAGCCAGGTCCTGGCGGCCCCTGTGCTTTCCCAGAGGCTCCCAGACACCCCAGTTACCATTGCAGTCGGGGAAGCTCTGCGCTGGAAGCTGGATCCACACCATAACCTGACCCCACTGCATTGGCCAGACAAAGCATGACCTCCCCATTCAGTGTGGGCCAGGGGGCCTGCATCTGAGCTGGAGGCATGGGGGCTGCCATGGGCTAGGCAGGCAGATTCGGCGATGCAGAGGAGGGAGCCATAATGGGGACGAGATGCAAAATCTGTCCAGGCTGATGTGCACGCTGAGCTCTTGTCTCTCCTTGTTCACTACCAAGAGAATCCTGAGGGATCTGACTGCTCATCACCACTATAGGTTGAAAGTATAAATCTCCTGGTCTGTATGCACGCCTGAGAAAAGCTCCACAGTGCTATTTTGAGCAGTGCGTTCCAGCAAATCAAGCTCATTATTGTCCTTATCCACCACTGGGCTTTCATTACGTCCATCTTGAAGGGCCTTAATCAGCCTGGTGCTATCGTTAGCTCTTCATTTTTCAAGAAAAGTGACTTGCAGCTGGCAAGATACCCCCCGACAGCAAAAAGGGCTCATGACAAGGGAGTGGGCGCTGAGCAG